CCCCCCCCGTTTCCCTGGCCCGGTTCCCCCTGCCCCTCCCCAGCAGTTGGTTCCCCCAGGCCTCGTCCTTCTCCCCGCGCCCCAGCCCAGTTCCCTCCGCTGCCCTGTCCTGGGGGCTGCTCCTCCTGGCCCAGTTCTGCTCCCTCCCAGTTCCCGTTTCCTCGGCTTGGTTCCCCTTGCCAGCCCGTGGCTGCTCCCAGCCCCGATTCCCCTCCTTGGCCTAGGTTGCCTGTTTGGCCCTGGTATTTTTTCCTCATGGGGAGCCCCTATAAATGCAGCCCGTTATCTATTGCCTTAAGGGCTCCCGTGCTGAAAGGTCCCGGTTCTGCTCGGTTTGCCCCGAGGCTGCGTCTCCCCGCGAGCCGGCAGTGCTGGCGGTGACCGAGCGCTTACTGCAATCTCTGTGTACCCAAGTTCCAGATCAGAGCGGCCCAGAAACGAGCTCAAAACTAATTTCAGGTTGAAGAAACCTCAGCGGAAGAAATATGGCCTTCTTTCAAACTACGATGAAAACATAGAGATGGCTTCATTTGACAGCGATGAGGACACAGTCTTTGAGACAAGAAATCTGAAGCGGTAAATGGATGTTTTGCAATTTTTTTCCTCAAAATTGCCAAGGGTTTCCGAAGATGTGTAAGCTTGGGACGGATCCTACGACTGGATCTGCATGAATTAAGCTTTTCAGTACGCTGTCTCTCTGCATTAACACACAGATTTATCTCATTTCCCTTCAGTTTCTGACCAAGCGCGTGGAAAGGGACATGCCCGGCGTTACAGGCTGCTGGTGTTTAACACGTCAGCAGGAGGGATGGGGAGCCCTCGTGTCCCAAGGGGCTCACCCTCCCTCTCCTCCTCCTCCCTCGCTCCCCACATTAGGGAGGAAAACAAAACTTTTCTGTTTGTCAAGTGGAGGAATAGCTCACAAGCGCAATCGCAGCTAGAGCTTGTGGTTCCACTGGGGCACACACTGGTGTTTGTCACGGTGACAGCTGCCAGCCAGTGGGTCACGCAAATATGATTTTGGGGGTGTTTTTTCTTAAGGGCCAAGGAGAAATGTGTCCCCAGGCAGAGCTCCCTGCCTGGCCTCTCAGCTCCCCCAGCTGGCTGGAGTTGCAGGGATCCGTCAGGTTGTCCATGCTCATTCTGCTGTTCTCTGTTTTCCAGATGACTTGGGATTGACCAGTGGCTTCAGCTGCATAGACTGACCAAGAGGTGCAAGTCCACCAGTGGGAATCGCCTTACCAATCCTCGGGTTTTATTTGTTCTAATTGCTTACAATGAGTACTACTTAACAGCACAAAAACTTACGTAGCTGGGGCAGGGGGAAGGGAACCAAATCTATTTCCTTCACAGGAAATTTCCTATTTCCTTTTGTTGGGGAAGGTGGAGTTGCAAAGTCGATGATGTTGCACAGGGAGATGCTTGCTAATGGAAATGTCACTCCTGGATGAGGACTCAGCATTTGAAAACTTCTGGCTCTGGACCCGAGGTATTGCAGCTCTGTGTGCTGGCCTGTGAATCTTACCAGTATTTTATATGTGCTCATCTCCCTCTCTGCCGACTGCTGCACTCAAGATATCAGGCAAGTGGATTCCTTCTGGAGGCAGATCCTGTTTCCTTTGTGCAGCATCGAGTTACTTCTTTAGTAAATGTCTCTGTAATCAACTCCTCATGTGTTGAGTGGGGAGGGCTCTCGTTATCTGTTACGCTGGCAGGAGATGTGGGTAGTGTTGCCTTAGCTCAGGAAGGAGCAGCGAGTTAAATACGTCCCGGTTCTTGTAGTTATAGGGCTCGTAGTTCCACGTGATAATACAGGTCTACAGGTCTGTTTTGCTCTTTGGATAGCAAAAATATGTTTACAAGTGCAAGGTGCCAGTGGGCCTGAAGGACCCGTTCCTTCGAGGGAGCGTCGGTTTGCATAGCCCGGGGTTTGTGGGTGCTGGGGCTGCTTCTCCCAGCCCAAGCTGGTGGTTGCAGTGGCCCCTTCACCAGGGAGGTACCTGCTGTGTGCTGGGCTCAGGCTGCTGCGCCACTCCTGGTGCGACAAACGCCTTGTGTTTGAATCACTGTCCTCTGCAAAAGGAGGAGCAGAGAAGGCAGCACTGCCAGGCCGTTATGATCCTTAAACTAAGACATCCCTGGCTCAGAACATCCCTGGCTCTTCATAGGGAGGCTCAGAGTTTCGCTCTGTCTGCTGGTACTCAGATTGCGTCGCGTGTCAGCCCAACAAGCTGGGAGGTTCCTTAGCTGGAGGTTTGGCTTGATATTTGGGTTCTTACAATGCAGGACCAAATGTGTGCAGAAAATCTCTTTCCTAAGGGCATTAAGACCTACTGCCAAGAGGGTAGAAACATCTTGCCAAGTGCTGCTGTTTGCAGCACCCTTGGGCCCTGGAAGGGCCGTTCCTGGAAAGCTGCGTCCTGAGTCCCTGGCTGGTGCCTTTGCTGCCGCAGTCCCAGGGAGGTTGCCCTGCAGGCCAGGAAGCTCCTGCTGCAGAGGTGCAGCTTGGAGGCTGCGCTGCTTCCCTTGGAAAGGAAGGCTGGGAGGATCTCGGGAGTGAGGGTTCCTTTTTTTTTTTTTTTTTTTTTTTTTTCCAGAAAAGGGGACAAAACAGGCACTTAACAAAAGAGCATGGGGTGGAAGGGGCGTCCCTGTGGAGCAGTGATGCTGAATGGATTTGCAGCAGGTCATGGGTGAGCTCAGGGTATAGCTGCTGCTCCAAAATCCCTGTCCGCTCGGAGGCAGTATGCGGAGGGCTGCGCTGCTGGTGCTCACATGGGCAGGGGCACCATTTAGCAGTGCGCGCTGGTGAGTTTCCTGGAGAAATGTCACCTCGGGTCCCGGCGGCTCTGTGGCTTGCACACGTGCAGAAGAATTCTTTTCTTTTATATATATATATATTTTTAGTAATGTTGTCATGTGAACACACCACTTGAATGTGCCCTAATTTCATACAGTTTTTATCCTTTCATGCCTACTCTGGATGCTTTCTGCTTGTTTAGCTGATGCAGAGATGAAAAGGCTTGCTGCATTCCTCTGTGAGGATGGCAGCAACGGCTGAATCCGCCTTTTGCTGCCCTTGGGGTGATCGCAGAGCTAGTTTGTTTGATTCAGCCTCCTCGCAGGTGCGGGCCCTGCTCATGCTGATCCTTTCCTTAGCTCTTCAGCTCCCTTCACAAAACAGTTGCTTTAAAGCATCATACGCAAGCCGGGTAAGTAACTGTATTCCAGTCCGCTTACATGCTCTGGCTCAGCATTCCTTGGCTTTTCTTTACTTGAGGTGATATATTTTGTTATTCTTTAGGCATTTCTCTCCATTGGATGGGTGAGTTTTGCAATGTTTAAGCTTCCTCACCTTGCAGGAATGAGTGATTCCAAGAACGTTTTCTAATATTAACAGTCGAATGATTTTGCTCAAAGAGGGGACATCCAACTGTAGCTCTTGTCACAAAATAATTTAGATGGAACTTGATTTTGCTGTAGTAGGTGCTCAGAATTTGAGGAGGGAAGGATGCGGATATAGCCAGGACTTGTTACAAGCCCCCTATTCTGGTACTAATAGGCAAAAGCTAATTAATTTGCAGGGCTTGGATTACCCCAGAGTGTGCCAGCCTGAGATCTGTGCACCACATACGTGTTTAAAGGAGCGAATTTCATCCTATGGAGAATAAAATGACGATTCTGAGGCTGCAACGCAGAACTGCTGTCACTTTTAATCTGACCTCGTTTTGGCTAGAAACAGCTTTGAGCTGTAGTCAGGGGCCGTGTGTGGCTATTTTCTTCTCATCTGAACCATACTGCCTATTGGAAGGAATTTGTAGTCTGCGTTAGATCCTTGTAGACCAAACCTTGACATTCCTGCTCTGTTGGACTTGTGCTTGTTCTAAATGATTGTTAATGCATTTCGTGAGAGGAGAAAACAAAAAATGCTAATAACAGATCTGAGACTCCTTCAAGTACAAATCTATTGCACAGTACACCTTTTACCCATCTCATCTTCTGAAAGAAAAATGTAAATTGAAGCTGCAGCAGCAACCCGTGGAGCGCTGTGCCCATGGGCAGCGAGGCCGGGACAGGTTTGTGGGGAGCTCGCTGGCTGTGGCCGCTGTTGGAGCCCTGCGTTGGGTTACCCTGCCGAACGGCGTCCTGTTGGGGCGTCTCGGCTGCAGTTTTTGTTGCTCTGCGCCTGCCTGGTTTCCGTGTTGGTGGCCTGGGTGGTCTGTTCTCGGCAGAACTTTGATGGCTTCTGGGGGCGTGTTGCGGTGCTCGGACACGCAGGCGGGACGGCCGGTGTCCCCATCCTGCTGCTGCTCTTGGGTTTCCCGATGGGAATCAGGGTGTCGGGAGGAGGCCCCAGGCTCGGCCCGTTGCCGCCCGCCTGCTGCCTGGCCTCACAGGCTCCAGACGAGGCCAAATGCCCTTGGGGGACACGAGAGCGGGCGCTGAGGAGCGAGGCTGGGCTGCATAGTGACACCGCAGAGCCACCAACCCGCGTGTCACAGGTGAGCGCCGCTGTGCCTGCTGCAGCAGTCACTAGTGTCTAAGCCAAAGCCTAACCTTAAAAGTTTACAGAATTGCCTCTGATTTCGGAGGGCAGCGTGGAACCCTCCGCTGCCGCTGTTGAGCGCCTAGCGAGCGGAGCAGCCCGTGTGCCGCGGCGGCCGCGAGCAGCAGCGCTCTGCTCTTACCGGGGACTTCCCAGTCCTGCTGGGCTCGCGCGTGTGACCGGTGGAAGCCGCAGCACCGGGTGCCGCGGGATGCTCCTATGCTCCGAGAGGAGGCCAGGAGGGCGCCGCATCGTTCACCCTCCTGCTTGAATCGCTGGTTCATGTTTAAATAGCAGCCAGCCCTGTATTGATGATTGTTTTGCTATCCTTTTGTTTACAGCATCCACCTCCATTGTATCTTCAAACCAATAAAATATAACATTCCATTTTGCTGGATTCTTGCACTGCAGAGTGCCTGGCAGCGCGTTCCTGTTGTTCTGGGGGCTGCCTCCTGGTCGGGATGCCTCCTGGAGCCTTCCGGAGTCATGCGCTGTCCGTGGCCGGCGCTGACTTCCAATGTCGCTTTTATCTCCTGGGCTTTTGTGCATCCCCTTGTCCCTTTTCCTCCTTGCTACCCAAGGAGCCTGCAGCTCAGGCCCCCATCCTCCCTGGGGCAGGAGACCACTTCGTGCCCAAGTTGGGTGGATTCCAGGATAAATTGCTCCAGTTCTGCTGATCTGGTTGTGAGGCGGTTGGGAGGAACGGCCCCAGGGGAGGGATGTGTCTTGGTGCAAAGAATTAAAACACAATAAAACTAAGGGAGTTCCCTGCTCTAAACATCTGCTTCTCATCCAGCTACCCCAGGGGGATGTTGCACGGAGAGGGTCCTGCTCACGTCCCTGCCTGAGCCTGGAGCAGCCGGGGTGGGAAGGGGCTTTAGCTCCGTGGTTAACCTTGCTCCTTCTGCACGGACACATCCGGAGCTGTGCGCAGCGAGACTGTGCAGCATGAGTGAGCTTGTGTGGTGCAGGTGAGTGCATACAGCACGAGTGAGCTCACTTAGTGCTTCGCTCAGGAGAACTCACACCACACAGGTGAGCTTGCACAATATAGATGAGCTTGCCCAACACAGGTGAGCTTGCTCAGCGTGGGTGAGCTCGCTCAGCGCAGCTCCGAGCAGGGCACCCTGTAGATGGCACTAACAGACCGAACATGCCTCCAAGCGGGTGCTGGAGAGCCCGATGCCGAAGCCTGAAACATCCCAGCACCTGGGAAGGGCAGCGCGCCTCCTCGAGCCTTGGGATCGTGCCTGGGGGCAGAGCAGGGGCTGGGAGCAGAGCCGGGAGGCAGCAGCCTCTGCCGAGGCCTCTTGCGGCTGTTGGGACAGGCACAACCGAGGCCGCCTGCCCGCTCAGCTCCGTGCGGGACGGGACAGGTTGGGAGCCAGCGCCCAGAGAAGGCCGCTCTGCGGGACCGGGACTGCTCCAGCGGTGCCAGGGCTCGGCAGATGCTCCCTTCCAAATCTGCTCCCTTCCACTTGCAGCGATGCCCCCAGAGCCCGTGGGCACCCTAAAACGAGGTGGAATCCCAAAACTTGCCTCTTTTTCCAGCTCAGGGGCCAGGAGCTCACGCAGCACCGAGGGCTGCAGCCCACGCACTCTGGGCGAGCTCAGCCACTCTCCCATCCCCGCGTCATGGCCCTGATCCATGTCCGGGCCCTGATCCGTGTCCGCTGCTACGCTGGAACCTTGCTCCAGTTCAGCTCGCCGCCTGGGGAGACGCTCACTTTGTCCGTGCCTGGGATTCCAGTCACAGACACACGTTGGCGGCATGTGCCTGCCCTGAATTTATTTTAAACTCAAGTTAAAATGCTCCCGATGCTTTGGATGCAAATTTCTTTCCTTGAAATGGGAACTGCAGGCCATTTGCTGAGCGGTGGTAAGCGCTTTTGATTTTGCTAGTCTGTTTGCAGCCGAAGCGTTGTAAGTTAGAGCTGTGCTCCACGGAGTGCAAAATAAGCTCTGCGGCGCTCGGGGAGGCGGCCGTGGCTGCTCGGCTTTCTGCGGGCATAGGAAGAGCACTTGGCTTGCTGTGCGGAGCTCAGAAAGGCGGGTTTCTTTTTTCTGCCCTTTTTTTTTTTTCCTGACGATTTGCTTGTAAGGTCAGGATCTGCCAAGGTGAAAGAACGGACGATAGTTGTTGTGGGAGGTTTTTATCCATGCACTGTAAAGAGCAGGAGGTGCTGTGAGCCCCACAAAGCCAAGGGAGGGAAAAATAGGCAGAATATTGAACTGTGCACGAAGGCTGCGTCAGTCGTGGGCTGCAGGGCCCTCCATCCCAGCACCCAGGAGCTTTTAGGCTGCCTGGGACTCCCTCGAAGTGGAAATTCCACATGAAAACGTCCCCTGAGGGCAGCTCTGCCCCTGCGGGTCCCCGGGAGCCCTGTGCACCCCAGCAGGTCGGGGGCTTATGGCCGGGGCTGTTTGGGGCAGTTTCCCGTATGCTCCCCCCAAATCACCCATTTATCTGCCAGCCCTGAGAGCGCCGTGTAGAGAACCAGGGGTATCCAAGGACCTGCGGCACCTTCTCCTCCGATGCCTCCTCCGTTCCACTGAGGGAGCCCTCTGGTCCAACGACCATGGCTCTTCCACATAAAAAATTACCTTTGCTTAGTTGGCTTTTTGTAGAAACCCTTCTTCTGATCTTTATTTTTTGCCTTACGCAATAGAAAGGTAAATGGAAGTAGCACTTCATCCACAGACAAATTTCCTTTAGAAATGTTGGTTGGTTTTTTTTTTTTTGTTTTTTTTTTTAATTTAAAGGAGGCTT